CTCCACCTAGCTAGTACGGAACAATGAACGTATTGTATTGTAGTAAGATCTGTGCATTCTTGAGGTCCTCAACAGGAAAATAAAGACTCCTTTAATATTTTGTATTTCTTTTTAATATTCTCTACTTTATTAATACGTCCTTAGCTTGAGTAGCACCAGATTTAGATTTCTTATATTTTAATACGAATGCAAATTTACCCAGTATGAAAGCCTTTTCTTTTCACAGGTCAGAAAGATATTTATTTAAATAGGTAAATCAAGGACCAATCATTACTAAGTAATTAGTGCGTATAAATGGAGAGACTTGGTGTCGGTGTGAGGAATTTCCAAAATCTGATAATTCTCACAAAACTGAAAAAACTTAATAACGAATAACGAATAAACAGTAAAGTATAACATAGTTAGTAGAGAAACTGATATATTTAACATGTTAATTAGCATGTTAAAATATAGCATGGTATTTTCTGACCCTGCGTAGAAGAAGAATAAAAACTTTACAAAACTCACTTTAATAATATCTATGCCTTGAAAAAAGCTAATGTCCGATCATCTATTGGAGAATATATTCACTGAAAAAAAAAAAGAAGAAAAAGAGATAGGAGTATATTTTATATGAATAATCATTTTTTTTCAAGAATGCATCTTCTCATATATTGTTTTCACTTCATAAGTTTGTCTTTCACTTGAAAGATATTAATTAAGTAAAACTCCATCAAAATTAAAAAAAAATAAAGAAATATTATGTATATAATATTCTTAGCAAATTTGTAGGTAGGAAATAATGTATCTAGGTGCAACCATATATTTGTATATATACCTGTTTGAGAATGATGAATGGGAGGAGAAATTTCGAGTTTATTTTAATAAGAATGCGTGGTGGACCTGAGCGAGTTTGAAGAGATCGAAACATTGCGCCGTGGTTCCCGAGCTCGGTGAGTCACGACCTTTTGATTCTCCCCAACATGGAGGCCCAACCCAAGGAAGCCCAACTCGACGCTGTCCAGCCCGCTCCTGAACTAAAAGATTCCATGGAAAAATCCTCATAGGTGTTGTGCTTGAACCAGATGCTGAA